ACATTTATTTTACAACTAACTAGATGATATCTTTTCCTAGAAGCTTTCATTGCACCCTTTTCTCCCTCTCTGAGCTACTTGTGGCATGAGAGCCTTTCCTTAAGAACACTAGTTCCTTCAGGACTAAAAATCTGAGTATACATTACATGTCTGAAGCAGGCAAATTTTACTTAGCTAATGTGAATTTTCAGTGACATCTAGCTTAGGCATATATTTTATGTGAGTGCCTGAATGTCTATATATCTTAATATTATGTACACACATACGGTAATATCTCATTAACATGAAGAACTCTTTAGTAAAGATGTTAAATCTTATAAAGGTGCAACATATATATCAAGAGCCAAATTAGAATAGGTTTTTGCCATTTAAATTGCCAAGGTAAATAGAGCACAACTGAAGCAAACCTGTCCCTCTAGGCATTCACGAGCCCATGCCTGGGAGCTCTTAGAAGTGAACTTAGCACCAGTTGTATCTTATTTAACTTGGCCATTTAAAAGACTAACCCCTTAACAACTTGGCTCACATTGACCTTATCACACCTTTAAATGACTGACCTTCCCCTCTCAACTTTCCCTCATTTAGTGCACACTGAATGTTTTTGATCAGATTTGATTTACGTTATTTTGGCCAATTAGTATAAAAGACAAAAACAAGATCTCTGAAGAACATGTCTGAACATAAAATATAATTAGATTGAAGTGGACCCGTTCACATTCCTTTTGCCTTAGTTCAGAATGTGAGCATTAAGTTCTAGACGTCTTTTTTTTGCCTGCTCGCTTTGCCACCCCAAAGAGCTTTCCTCAAAGCCTGACAGCGCTCTTATGCAGGGCTTGTACTCTGTTATAAAAGGAGAATCCTCCCTCTGCTTTGGGAGAGGATGTGTGGTCTGTGCAGAGGGAGCAGGCAGCCAGTGTATTACTGAAGATTTCTGCTGTCATATGTCAAGACATGCATGTGGTACAGGCATATGATACTGTTAAAGAAGTGAAGAGATTCAGGCTGTTTTCTTTCTGGTAAATCCATGCCTGAATGAGACTAAAATAGAGCATGTGTATCCCATGGATGCTGCTGCTAATTTGAAGAAAGAAGATTTTTGAAAATGATTTTTTTTTTAACATCAAATTGCCGTTGCTGCACAAGACACAAGATTAACTCTTGTTAATTTACTTAATTAACTCCATGTTACACGTGATCCTTCACAGATCATGCATATTTGAAGATACTCCCACATAGAATCCCATTGTTTGAGTCAGCAAAATCAGAGTCAATGACAATGGAATTAGATAGAAATTTTGTGTTGCAATCTTTGTAGATTATTACCTATGAGAATTAAATGCTCAGAACTCATAGTAATGACAGCAGTATAAAGGTTTGGACAGATTAGATAGAAAGAATATAAAATTAGTTCCCTGAGGTGCTTATGTCATCATACACATGGACTCATGCCAACTACTGACTTAGCGTGAGATTCTAACTTATGCAATAAAATCTCTAAAAGAGACTCCATTTAAGATGAAGTGGGGATAGAGATGCCTAAGGAGCAAAGGAAAAGTAGGAAAATGGGCCCCCAAAAGCACAGTGGTGGATAAAGGAAGATTTCTGTGTGTGTGTGGGAGGAAAAGGGAGCAAGTGTCTCATCCACTTCTTGGCTATCCAACACAATCAGTGTGCAGAATGTCCTTATGCCTATATTCCAGCACCTCTTCCTGTAATAGGATGGCTGGGAAAACAAACATGGAATAAGGTCAGCCAGCAAGGACATGTAACTTACAATACGTGGAAATAAATTCTGCCTTCTCCAAGCCTGTTGTGTCAATTTAGGCTTTGCTGATGACTTGCTCCACTGCGCAGCTACCAACTGTCCTAAGGCTTTGAGGGTTATCACTGTTTTTTAAATATGCTGGGTGTAATTTGTGTTAAAATGTCATTCCCTTTCACAATTGCAAGGTTGTTAATAACTGGGTACAGTTCAAAAATTCATTAGAAATGTGAGGACTATAATAGAAAAAAGCAACTACTACTGTTCACCTCTTCCTCCTCTTACCCTTTTCTGTTTTCTTCCCTGTAATCAAACAAATTTTTTACTGATAATAAGTTGTAAGAACATAGGGTGAGAATAGACTATCCTTTTATTAATATCTCTTGTTCTTGTGTTCTAAAAAGGGGTGCTTTGTGAAGCACTTGAAGAATATCAGCTTGACTTGTCAGAATGTTTCATTGCACATATAATAAACACATCACAGCAGCAAGCAGAAGAGATGAGAGTACTACTAGTGCTGTAAGTCCCTGTTATAGAGGAAAATCAGCTAATCAAAATTCCAGAAGTACTAAGCAGATACTCTGAGCACTTCAAGGTGAGACAAAAAGTCCAGCAACTCCTTCCAGTCTTACCCGGGGTTGGGAGAGAAATAATCTTTCTGTCCTCAAACCTTTAGCTCTGAAAATGTGAAGATGTAGGGACTAACAGGTAAATGAGATCAATACCGCCAATTATTAAGAAGATTCAGTTCTACAATATCTTTTTAGCTACAATACAGGAAAAAAAATGCAGAAGAAAAAATTCCTACAACAGTTATTAGTTCATTTGAAGCTCTACTGTCAAGAAGACACAGAACACATTGCACTTCTTGATCTAAGTAGGATCTGAAAACATGATCACTGATCAAATAAGGATGTCTACCATTTAAAAGTACTACATCTGAGCTAAATAGCTTTGACTCCCTTCTGTGGTCAAGGGAGAGATACAGAGATCCCATTATTTTCCCCTTAAAGATGCTTATAATAAATCAGATGAACTATGTTTTAAAAGTTTTCATTTCTTTCCCTTGATAACAAAGGAGATTAGCTCAAATACAGGTTGGAGTTTTCCTTGCATACATATTGTCCATAAGCTGGAAACCTGAGTTTCAGGTTTGAAATGGAAGTGTTTAAGTGGACAGACAGGTAATTATGATCTACACACTGCATTTCAGAGAAGAGAATATTAGTAGTGTGAGCATGAGCTGCTATGTGCTCTGTGTGAAGTCCAAAAATTGCCCCTTTACAGTCAGGTAATGATTTTGTTTCCAGTGGAGCCCTAGAAAGTGTTGTCTGATGATGTCTCCTATAAGGAGGACAAGGAAGATTTTCCTTGATGCCAGGGATGTCACCACCCATCAGGACACCTTGCTGCACAGGGTGAGCAGCCTTGAGGCTGTGACTTCTTGCAAGGGCTGGGTGTTTTTGTTCAAAATAAATCAACATGACGGATTGGCCAAGGACGTGTCCAGGAAACTAGTAACACTTTGAATGCTTGTATCCCCTTGGTTTTTGAGCTCGAGTTTTTTATTGGGGAAGGTAAATAAAGATCTTTTAATAGAAGCACATGCAGTCAGAAAATATGCCATCAGCATACCCCGTAGCTATGTTGTTGAGAGCTAAAAATTAAACCAATTAAATTCTGGTCTTAAACTCCACCTTCCTATCTCTGATGTCAGATTTTGAGAACAAGATACACAAAGAAGCAATAACTTTTTCACACATTCTTTGGTAGGTAATATTTCTGATTTTTTTTTTTTTATTATGTGCTTGTATGTGCTGCTGTGCAATTAAATTCCGATCTCTGGGACAAATTATTAAAAATTAAATTTTGGAGCTCAGTTCTCCTTGTATGCTCTCATCATACATAAGGTTAAATGACGATATTTTCATGTTTCTTTGTAAATATTTCACATAATTTCAGAAGTTTAATTTCAGGATATAGAGTGAAAAATAGAAGCAATATGAAATAATTTGGGCTTCTCAGGAGGAAGAAAGAATAAATGCAGTAGGATGGGAAGCTCTCTCTCTTGGAAGATTAAGCAAAGGTTTGATATCAGCTTAAGTCCACAGTTCTCTCTCCCTCTCTTTTTCTTTTTTTAAAAGTTTTTCTAGATTTTTTAATTTTGGTAATAAGGGGTGGAATATGGAAATGCAAAAGCCAAAAAAATCCTGTCCTAAAAAGAAATTAAACTGTTATCACAACACTTCAAGCAACAGAGTACTTACTCCCACTGAGGCCAGTATTTCAAGATATTAGTTAGCTTTTAAGATCTAAAACTAGTCTAAAATATGAATTTACAAATTGCCGTCATCTAAGCAGGGCTTTCCCTACACCAAAATAATATCTGTGTAGGTACAATACCATCATTAGGGATGAAAGAAAAAATCAATTTGTGCAGTCTACAACCTGTGAGAACACAGTAAGATGTTATTAAAATATTTTATATTTGCTTAGGTTGCTTTATAAATGTTGCTCTACAAATACACTGATTACATTTGAAGCAACTGTATTACAGTCTGCTTAATAACTCAGTGACAATGGAGAACAAAATTATTCTTCCTTTTTGACAAGTCTATTCCTGAGGAAGTTCAGTCTGCTGCATAAGTTCACTAAAACAGTGCATTAGTTGCAACTATTTAATGTATATCTCAATTCTTCTGACACAAATTAACCAATCAAACAAATGCTATCTGAGCACAGTACTGCAGTCAGTTAAAACATATTCTGCTTGAAAATAACAAACCTGATTGAAATTTTTGCTTGAAAGAACAAAATTAAGCAAGTCTTAATATAGTTGAAGGGGTACAGAAAGTAAGGGAAAATAAATTATTTTCCTTTGTTTCTTTATAAGTTAGTACGTGCCCATTGCTCACTTGCTCATCCAAAGTGCATATCTTCTGGCTGAACTGCTGTTTTTTATCTCCTGAAATTAATCTGATAAGAAAACCCCCTTTTATCTTCAGAGTTGTAAAGACAAGACTCTTTGGTAAATGTATATAGCACACCCTATTTGATTTCAGTATGCACTTAAAGACAGAAGGAACATTAAGATCCAAGTTGATCTCTACTTTTAAAGGGTACTCTTTCAAGAAAAAAAATCATGTGGAGGCAGACTAAAAAATATTTCTTCTACAGTTCTCTATATCAGTAAGGAAGAGAGCTACAAAACCTTTTCCTGCTACTAGATCTGATCTCTCAGTCATTTCAGACCTCTTCTTGGCCAGAATGCATTGTTTCAATTTACATTTCTTTTTTTTCTTTAGTGCTACATCCACTTTTTTTCTCTGTCTACTCGTGTTCCTGCTCCAGTGAACATTTACAGTAGTTTCTCAGCTGTTACCCACCCTTCTGTTATCTCTTTCTCATTTATTTTCTTTCTTTACAGTGTCCTGCATGAAAGTATCTACTTATGCACTGAAATGTTTATTCCTGGAAGAGATAAAACCTTTTCATAACAGCACACTGGCAGTGATCTACCCAATCTACATGTACTCAGAACAGAAAAGTACTCTTGTGAGAAGAGTACACCTCTCTGCCCATATCTAGACTTATCATCTGTTGTTGCATGTCACATAATATGTGGTGTTATCTATCGAATGCTGATAAAGGGTTGGTATGTACAATGGTGCCTTTCTGGATGCAGTATGTTTTGTAGAAACCCAAGTAAACATTGTCTGTAATGGGACTAACAGATTTTCAGAAACATCTCAATCTGATAAAAAAAAAGTATGTAATGACAAGGAAGATTCTCCCATTATATATATACTGCTAAATGAAAGAAGACTAGGTTCTGATTCTTGTCTATGTTACCAGGGACTGGGCTCTGCCATTATGGATGGGTATCAGAAAACTAGACAGCCGTATGGATGACTTGCTTCCAGGCTACCTTTCCGTTTAGCAGCATACTCTTGTGTGATAGGTAACATCCACTGACAAAACTGAACATTTAAGCAGTAGAAGTGTCAAGTCTGGGGTTGTTGTTGCTGCACATTGCTCTGGGATGAAGCTGTGTTTTGTGCTCATTGTCAGTGTGACTTTCTCCACCCATTGCCAGTCGAGCTGTATTCATCATTACTTCTGCTTCTTCTGCGGCAGCCCTAGGAATAGAAAATGGTGTCTTCTCTGTCTCTTCAGAATCTTGAAATCCTGCAATACTGCACCACTGATACCAAAGTGCTCTTCTATGTGAATAAGACACATACTCCTATACTAAATTTTGTTATTAAAGTCAAAATCTACATGTTCTTCTGGCTAAGATCAGTTACTTTGGAGGTAGTCTGGAAGCAGTCTTCTGTACAGTGCTCTGTACACTCCGCCTGCGGTCTGCACACTATTTGCAGTGCTCTTGGATAACGTTCATTTCAGGCTTCAATTGAAAGGCAGAGATGTAAGAAGCCGCACCAGCTAAAGGGAAATATATGCTGTTAGGAGGGTTTTGAGACCAGCCATCAAAGATGTGACATGGGGAATCCAGTCAACAGTGGAGCTGTAAGGACCATTTGCGGCACAGTCTATGCGTTGTGAATGTTGAAATATACTGAGCACAAATGAAATGAAATGAATGAAGAGCGTGAACTTCATATAGGGAATTAAGAAATATGGCTTAAATCTCCTTAGACAGAAGAAAAAATGGAACTCTGCTCACTGTACAGCAAAGGTTGATTGGCTAATGTACACTGAAAAGGAGGACAAAGGAATAGAAAATAGGTCATCAACAAGAGCTGGAAAGAAAAAAGCAACAAGCAGCCAGAATCTACCTCTTCATCTAGAACTCTGCTAAATTTTCTGAGTAAATGACCATTAACTGAGGTCCTGAGGAAAAGCAGATGTCGGGACTCCTTATTTCTAGGACCTGAGTGGATGCTGGAGTTAACTTGTTTCCAATCTGAATGGCATTATAAAGGACATACTATAAGAGTCTGCATGTATCTGTTTCTTGAAATGCCTGATGAATTCTTTGGTAAAACTGTAAGTTACTGGAGTTCAGATATTTTTGCTGAACAGTTCTGCATTAAGTACAAAGAGTACATAAAGTTCGGAACATTTGCAAAGAAGTTTATGAATCTGAGTAGCCTCACAGCATCAATATTCCTCCTTTCTTTGTGTAGTCAAGATGTCCTTTCTCATTATGTAGAGATGTGATTCCATATCATTTTGTATATTTGAGCTACACATTTTTGAGAAGCATACCTGAAGGCAGCACATTACCTCTAAACCCTTGTAGTCCTCTGTAGTTAATCCCAAATGAGTCATGCAATACAATTAGTCTTTATAACATAGTAAAAATGGGAAATCTGTCTTTGAAAACTTAATTCCAAGGATCACTTTCCTGTTCATAGCCATTAACTTATTTAAAAGTAAAAATATGTAACATTCAAACACAAACATAAATGGTACCAGGATAAAATAGATAAAAAAAGGAAGATTACATCAAAGATATAATTTACTCATTTTTTTAATAAATGGAGTCTGGGTTCCACAGAGAGAGAAACTGTTTAAACTATTCAGTTAATTAAAGCTTAATTTGTCATTAACATCATGAGTCAGAGCAACTATAGACCTACAAGGAAATAATAGCAGAAAATTCATGGTCTTTACATAGAATTCTTTGATTCCACTAAAGTGAGATGATTTGGGGTATTTAAAGAAAAAAAGAAATAATTTGAGCATGTGCTGCTACATTTATAAGTAAATAAGATCAAGGCAAGTCTCGAGGACTGTCACAAGGCAGATCATATCTGACCAATCTGGTGGCCTTCTATTGTGGAATGATGACATTGTTGGACAAAGGAAGGGCAACTTATGTTGTCTACATGGACTTGTACAAGGTGTTTTCTATGATCCTGCAGTACTTCCTTCTCTCAAAATTGGAGAAATATGGATTTGAAATCTGGACTATTCAGTACAGAAAGAATTGGTTGGATGGCAATAGCCAGAGGGTTGTTGTGGATGACTCTACGTCCAGATGAAATATGCTCAAGGGTGGTGTCCCCCAAGTGTCCATCTTGGAATCTGCACTCTTTAATATCTTTATCAACAACATAGATGATGGGATCAAGTGCACCCTAAGCAAGATTGCTGATGACACTACACTGAGTGGTGCAGTTGACACGATAGAGGGAAGGGACACTATTTGCAGGGACCTAAATGGACTTGAAAAGTGGTCATACAAGAACCTAATGAGGTTTAACAAGGCCAAGTGCAAAGTGTTGCAGTTGGATTGAGGTGATCCCAGATATGACTACAGACTGGGAGAAAAACTCACTGAGAGCAGCCCTGTGGAGAAGAACTTGGAGGTCCTGATGGACAAAAACTGGACATGAGCCAGCAGTGTCCTCTTCCAGACCAGAAAGTAAACAGTATACTTGGCTGCATTAATTTTTTTTTTTCCTATATCTTTGTTGGATACAAGGGAAAAGTCTTTTATAGTGAGGGTGGTGGAGCACTGGAATATGTTGCCTAGAGATATGGTTGATGCCCTATTCCTGGATACTTTCAAGGTAAGCGCAACCTGATCTAGCTGTGGATGTTCCTGTTCATTGCAGAGGAGTTGGACTAGATGACCTTTAAATACCCCTTCCAACACTAAGGATTCTATAATTCTATGATTCTATGAAAATAAGGGTGGCCAGCAGGAACAAGGAGGTGATTGTCCCCCTTTGCTCTTGTGAGGCCCCATCAGGATCACTGTGACCAGATCCAAGGCCTTAGTAAAGGAAGAATGTGGATCCATAAAAGAAGGCCATAAGGAGGGCCACAGAGATGATCAGAAGGCTGGAGTACCTTTCTTTGGAAGAAAGGTTGAATGAGTTGGAGTTGTTCAGCTTGGAGAAGAAAAGGCTCCAAGAAGACCTCATTGCAGCCCTCCAATACTTGAAGGGAGCTTACAAGCAGGAGAAGGAGCAACATTTCGTGTCATTTGATAGTGATAGGACACTGGAGGATGGTTTTAAATTAAAAGAGGAGATATTTATTTTAGAAATTAGGAGGAAATATTTTACTCAGAGGGTGGTGAGGCACTGGCACAGACTGCCCAGAGAAACTGTGGATGCTGCGTCTCTACAGGAGTTCAAAGCCAGGTTGGATGGGATTCTAAGCAGTCTGATCTAGTGGTTGACAATGCTGCCCTTGGCAGGGGTGTTGGAACTACATGATGTTTAAGGTGCCCTCCAATCTAAGCCATTCTATTTTTCTATGACTGCCAGTGGTGTTTGCCTGCTTGAATCCTTTTGGGGACAAGCTGAGAAGAGCATGTGGGAGGAGGCAGATTGAAATGTGATCACCCTGTTTGTCTGCAAAGAGAGTTTAGGTCTGTGCACATGAGAGGAGCAATGCCACTTGACTTTGGGGTCAGAGACTGCTTTCTGGATTATTTTATTTATTATTTATTTATTTTGCAGGGGTGCAGCCTAAAATTGCATTTCTGCTGTTGTATTAGCATGGATTTGTGCCTGAGCCCAGCCTACTCTTTCCACAAAAGCTGAAGTGATGGATGGAAATCTGCTTTTCATCTGGAGAAAACTAAGTGTGGAAAACTAAGTGCAAAGTGCAGGATTGGCTGATCTTCTTTGACCAGATCTATCTGACTCCTCACCACCTACTCTGTGCGATTGCATGGCATATTTCTGGTAGGTGCCTGCAAAGACCATGAGGAATATTTGTTATCTCTGAGTGAATGATCTCTAATGGAGAGTCTGATCGTATTCCAGTAGTTCTCTAAATAACATCACTAATTCTGGTATTGCAAATGGTCCAACTGTCCTATGTTTTCTCACTGCAATTGTAGTTTGTATACCAAATGGGTGCTGTGAAAAAAAATCTGGAAAATGAAATGGAGTGGGTGAAGTGATATAGAATAGAAAGGTCATCAGGGTGATGACTTTTACAGACAACTAGGAATGTCTTCATAAAATAGTTTTCTCTGAGCTTTCTCCCGTTACTCCTCCTAATACATTATTCATTTCATAGATGCTATTCTAGTGAATCCCTCTACTCAGCTGTTATTTCCAGACTGAGTGATTTTTCCTTTCCTTTCAATAGGCAAAATATCTGTAAGCAGATTGTACTTTTCCTCAGATGTAACAGTTTCTGGAAATGATTGCACAGACACAAGAAGTGCAGAACTGTAGCTAGCTCTGTAGTGGCAGAAGCAGGTGCTGAGAAAAAAGGGTGTAAGAGACAAGGGCTTACTTCTCCACAGCTTCCAGAAGTTATTTAAGGATATTCTAAGCTGTGACTTGTACATCAAGCATCATATTAAATTGCCAGCGATGAAATTCTGGTCCATGAATTAGTTTTTCTTCCCTTCTTTCCTGTCTATTTTTTTGCACATGAATTTTGTTCATTTTTAAATTGATCCCTGGACACTCTGAAACCTGAAATAGGTCTTCACCTCCATAAGCTGTGTGTTTTGCTCTGTTTCCACAGTAGGTGTGCTTTTATGGAAAAGTGGTCCATATCAGCTGTGGGATATTTTATGAGTTCTGGGTATATTTTTAAAGAAAGAGCCTATGTGGAAAGAATTTGTGTTCTACCTACAGCAGATTTACTACTGACATTAGAAACACATCAGCAGCACAGCCTGTAACCCTGACATTTTCATTAATCCCTCGTAGTTAATTCCACTAGTGGGGAATTAATTGTACTCTCAAATTATTTAAACAGGGACTTACCATCTTACTATGACCTCCTTACATTTATTTGGAATTCAGATGGAAGAAAGTGGCTTTTAAAAACTGTGATGAAATCTCCCAAATGAGTAATACATAAACTCATTGCAAAAGAAGGAGACAGAAGGTCTGCAGTCATATTTAAAATAATATATCAGATTACCTAAATGATATCTGATCAGCATATGTAATCAGTATATCTGAAGCAATTAAATTACCTCTGTACAATATCAGGCAAAGTTAAATTTGTGTAAGATAGAAACAGCAAGTATGTGATTATAAATATTTCTCACTGTGGTGAACATTTGCAGTGAATAAAAATGTGTGTACTAGCTGTGTGTGCTGTAAAGAAAGGGAACTGCTCTGATTGCCTGGAAAATACTGTACTTTTCCATAAGAAGATCTAAGATATGTCATAACTTGGGGATAGACACACCACTTAAAGGAACTGATCAACTCCCTGTTTTGACCAGTAAGATTTTTCTTCACTATTGAGATTTTTTTATCTCTTGGCATTTTAAAGGTGTTTGCTGTTATTGCAATAAATTTCTCAACTGGATAATTTTAGAAAGGCAAAAGTCCAGTCCTCATAGCTAAATCTCCATAAAGTTGATGTCAAAAGGACAAAGATCTTAGTCTTGATTTACCATTTCTATAGTTGTGTGTTCTTAAATCATTATTTGAGGGAGGAGGTTGATTTACGTCCTTTTGAATGTTATTGGCAACACAGTTTTGTAGTGATTCATTTTAAGTCTTTTATGAGCAAGTAGAGATATCACTAATACATTTTTATATATTATTTGTTTACACACACAGCGCTTTGAGTGTCCTCGCAGAATTTTATTCCCAGCCCTTTGTCTTGATTTCAGCTGGGAAAGAGTTGACTTTCTTCACAGTGTCAGGTATGTTGGTGTGTTTTGGCTCTGGGAGAAAAACAGTGTTGATAATACATCAGTGCCTTCGTTGTTGTTTTGCTGTTCTTCACAGAGCCAAGGACATTTCAGCTTCTTCAGGAGCTGAGGGGGGACGGAACCAGAACATCTGAGCTAAACTGGCCAAAGGGATATTTCATGACATATGACATAATTTGAAAAAACTTGGGGAGTTGGTTGGGGAGAGGGGTGCTGCTCAAAGGCTGGCTGGATGTCCATCAGCTGGTGGTGAATAATTGCACAGTGCATACGTTGTTAAGTTGGCATATATTGTCATTTCTATTACTATTTTCATTTTCTGTCTTAGTAGCTTTTATCTCAACCCGTGAGTTTTACTTTGTGGCTTTTTTTTTTCTTTCCTTCCCAGTTCTCTGTAATGCCTTTGCTTCCAGAATTCCTCCCATACTAAGCCAAGTGCCTGAAAGGTGTGATGGCTTTCTTTCCATATATGCTTATCTTTTTCTACTGACAGTACTGACTCATGTTTTCCAGGAACAGTGAAAGTTGACAATGGAAAATTACTTGTATACAGATAAATTTAATGGAAACTGAAATGAAATAGTGATATAATTCCACAGCACATAGCTACTCATGAAAACATATTCAAACTTCTTCAAGGCTTTCAACTATCCATCATCTACCATTCCAGTTTGAAGACTGGCAAATATCATGACAACTAACTGTTTGGTTTTGATTTGATGTTTTCAGTTAATTGAATGTTCAGCTTAACTGAGATATTAGTGCTTCTGAAAAAATATATATTCCTTAGCAAACAGAAGCAGTTTTTCTTGTGTTGCTCATCAGTTCTGGCTCAGAACATCTAGACAGTCTTGTTTAGTTGCAATTTGGTTGTACTTCTGCATTGTACTTCTGCACAATACTTGTTTTAATTCTGGATGTGAACAACTGATACTGTTAATCTGGGAAGAACAAGAGCATTATTGTGAAGTATTGAGTAGCAAAGGTCTGTGTTTTCAGAGATAGGGAATATTGATTACTGTTTTAGGTTTGCATCAAATGTACAGTATATTGATTGGCTGGACCACAAAAAAATAAGTTCACCTGTCTTTTCATAGACTAAAAAAAACAATAATGATTAGCAGAGTTTATAATTATGTTTCTTGAACATCATAACCTGATTAGTCTGCAGCAACAAACTCATTTAACTTAAATTGCAAATCAATTTACTCGTTAGTTCTATTCAAACTGTACTCTCTTATGACTAAGACAGCAAATTTGTGATAGAATCACTTCTTCCATCTGTCTTTTGGTCAGCTGAAAAATTAGTTGTATGATTAAAATCGTTATATTCTTCTGTCTGATTTTTTTTTTTTTTCCTGGTTAAAGGAAATGTACTAAAGGATGCCCAGAGATTTTATGCAGAAAAGAGATGCATTTAATTTCATCTTTCTTGTTAAATCTGATTGTCAAAAAATGATGCATTTAGTCAGACCATTCAAATGTCCCTTATAGAGAGAGAGACAGAGACAGTTCCAGTGAATAATTCATCCTAGAACAGATATGGGAGACAGAAGGCTTGATTAATTTTGGTGGTCCTTCCTTTTCTTTGCTGGCTAGAGAACACATCTTTGTTCTCGGATACATAGCTACGAACTTTGGCTTGGAATATATAATCATTGAATCTTTGCAAACCTTATACCACCAACCATGGGATGAGACAGACAATTAATTCAAATACCTTTTGAATTTTGGGGTAAGCTTGTCCTTAGATATACTTCAGTTCATTTTTCTTACAATGGTTTGAGATCCTGAATTGCAGCATAGTCAGAACATGACTATGTAGAAGTAAACTCATTGTGTTAACCTAGAACCTGCTAAGACATCAGTGTAACTTTTCAACCTGAATTGATACATGATTATCAGCATGTTTAAGCGTTAACTGGATCTGTTAGACTGAACATCACTGCTTGATGCTTCTTAATTGCACATCCTGTGATGTCTCATCAACAGGTTGTTTCAATGAATAGAAATAACGTTGCGAAAATGGTACTGCCTTTCTTTTAAAGGAGATGATGCAGAGTGGATTAAACCAATTGACCTCTGTAAACTGGGCTCTTGCTTTTGATGATGTAAAAAACCCTGCAGCTGTAAGGCTGGAGGACACCAGCATCCTTTAACAGAGAAATTCACATCTCAGCACTTGTAGGGATGACAGCAAAATGGCATGCACATGGCAGGGGGGGTTGGAGATTCATGATCCTTAAGGTCCCTTCCAACCCTGGCCATTCTGTGATTCTGTAAAAGAAGTAACATCTTTCTCAAGACCTCTTTCTCTATGGAGAAAGAACACAGCTCCTCCAAAAGTTCTTGTGAGAAAGCCCAGACCAATTGCATCATAAATGGACATTGATGCTTCCCAGCCGCCTGCAGCTGTATATTTAGGAGCTGTCATGTCAACACAACCCTGCCTCTGGCAAAATTAGCAAGACACGGAGATTTTTTTTAAAGTATGTTGTACCCTAGAGCCATAGGTTGGCCAAAACATTTAAGCTGGCTTTACTTCACACAAAACTTGGAACATCCAACTCTCACTAGAATTCATTGTAATGACTGCAGGAACTATAAGCACCAGGCTTCATCTGGTACCCTCACTGCACATACACCATGTACATTAAAAAAAAAAAAAAAAAAAAATCAAATATGGCATCATATGTCTCATAGTCATCTTACACATAATCTGAGATATTTTTGTTACATCTCACAGCCATAAACTTTGTCTGTATGTTAAGATTTAGTCTCAGTTCTTTCCACCACAAATTATTCCAGTGGGCAAAATTATAAATAGTTTCTGACTTTATTCAGTTCAGTGTTTATACAGTTGCTTTAAATACATACACATACATAGTATAAGCAAGACAGACTTCTTCAATACAATTTCAAATTCTCCCTTAAAAATACACAGAAGCTTTGGGGTTCAGCATGGGGAAAGAGTAGCAGTTTGTTCTAAGAATGACTCTACCCTAACTAACATCTGCTGCCCATTTTTAGATGGAAACAGGATAAAGACTTCTTATCACAGATGTTACAAGTAGCAGTTTATTCTTTTCTCATTGAAAGTGGTGTTTCACATCTGTGATTCCTCCATAGAAGAATTCACAACATTTTTCTGTTTATTCTTTATTCTATAGAAAAAAAATATCACACCTAGCTATGTGCTATCTTCCACTAAGGGTTGAAATCCTCCTTGGAGGTATGACCATTCTGAACTTAACCTGAAGGCAAAACAGCTTCAAGCCTCTCCGAACTCAGGAACATTTTAAGATCCTTTCTCTCACATATGGTATATAAAAATAATTTATCTTTTGTTTAATATTGGGCATGTTTCTGCAGCAGTGGAAAGCTACACGTCTGGAACTTAAATTCCACAATTTCAGTTGTGTTTGTAGAAAAGCTGCCATTTCAACTCATAACACCTCAGAAGGTCCACTTGAATATGACAAAGAGGTGTATAGTTTCCATGTGTTGACAGTTGGCTCACTCTTAAAGTTTTTGGTCAGCCAAGCTCTCACTTATTTCATCTGAAGTTCTCTGGATGTTTTCTTTGCATAAGAGCTACAAGGACTAATGTTACTGAATGTATTCACAAAAAATTACAGCTGCAAAAAATTTACTGTACTATTTCTCTTAAAATTATGCTATTTCTTCACATACTTAGGACAGTTTTCCATATGTGCCCTTGAATTTTCAGACAAATAATGTATATTTACATCCAATTATGTTGGTTTGTGGTTTGTATAATTAAAATATCACAGTCATTAACTACATCTTAAACTATGTCTTAAAATCATGAACATGCAAACTTACTGCTTTTGTACAACCACAGAAATTTATGACTCTCAACTATACTTGATGGCACATTTCCCAAAACTCACCTTGCTTTTCTGCCTGTAGCTGTCATTCAAATGGCCTTAGACTTATCTCCTAAGCTTTATCTCTCTGCTCATGTTTATAGCACCTAAAGATCAGACTGAAGATGCAAAGCTTTTAGTTTTCATTAATCCAATAAAAAAAATAAGAGTCTTGACATACAATGTACTATGCATTTGTGAAACTTATAGTTTTAGAAGAAATTAATGCTTCAAGCAATTAGTACAGTGGAATAACTTTAGCCTGCCCAGAGTAACCTAAATGAAACTTTATTTCATTACTAGCTTGTTTCAATTTCATGGTTGATTCATGTTCAGTGGAAGTCCCCCAGCTTTATCAGATCTTCCACATCAACTCCAATTGATGCTCAGGCACTTATAGAAGATTTATCTTTGTTTGGGGCAGGGACTAAGGCTAGCAGACTGATTTGCTGGATCATGATCCAGAATCTGCAAAACAAGTATCTGCTTTTTTTAAATTTTTTTTTAAGCAATGGCTCAACTTTATTTTTTCCTTCTTTACAGAAACCATAATAATACATTAAATATTTTAGGAAATTGTATTTAAGAAGAAATGTTAAAATTGTGATAGCAACCATGTTGAAAATCAAAGCAGAAATTTTTCGTAAGTTAATCATTTTGAAGTCTCACTGTCTGGTATCATCAAAACTCCATCTTTTGCTAAATATTTAGCAAAAATGTAAAGCAACGGCATCTGAAAGCAAGTTTTAAGTAAACCATGTATCTTTCATCTTTTCAGCTGGTTGAAACAGAGAGGGAATTGACTTTTTTCTCGTCTGATACAAATCCTCCATTTTCTTTAGTATGTGACGAAATTGATTTAGAGTCATCTTTTTCTTCTGTTTTCTCAACATCCATATTAGTTTTGACACAGTATTTTAAGTATAAACGGTAGGCTGGAAAATTAATATTAAAAACATTATAACAATGACTGAAAAATACTGCATTTGCATATAAGCATACAACCCTTTATTACCTTATGTTGCTAAAATATTCAAATAGCTCAATACAGTTTATTTAAAGTCAGATTTAACTATTCTATGTCAGCAACTCTCATTACTAAAGAAGTATGTTTAGAAAATAATAAGGAAAATGTTTGATTTTTTTTTTAATGCATGACTGCTTTTTGTTCCTGATAAAAGTACTGCCTATCTTTATTGGGAAGCCTTTGGGCAATTGGCTGGATCTGTGGGACTCAGTCTTCTACACAAATCTTATTTGGTAGAAACTAAGCCAAAGTGAAGAAAAACAGTTCTTCCATTGTCATGCAGTTGCCACCTTGGAAAGAAGTGGGGATATAGCTCCCAGGTTGTGTCCCTGGGACAGTGCTTGAGATGCCTGGTAAGTTGGCTCGTTTGTGACTGGGAGCTAAAAAGTCCCAGCTAGTTTTGGGGGTGAACAAAAAGGATAAAGTTTCAATCCTCAGTAGGTTAGGTGTGTACTTCTAGTGCAATGCGTATGAGGTGTATGTAGAAGTAAAAAGGGACCTTATAAAAGAAGATTTCTGTTCTCATATTGGCTGTGAAACTAATCTTTCTCTCGATGTATGTCAAGATGTATGCTTTTCAGGATGGTCCTGGTGTGAAACTGTAAGCTCAGGCACTTTGGAGTGGTAGAGGGCTCAAGAGGAAGGCACATTTGCCTTTCTTCAGGAAAGGGTAATAATAAATCTCTGCCCAAAGTATACTTCTGTAGTCAGTTGTAGGTGACAGATTACATCCCTTGTTCTGAAAAGTAAAGGGCCTTCCAAATCTTAAATTGATCCTTATATTGTCCCACACAGCACAGTGGTGATGAACAGTGATAATTTGAGCCATTATTAAGTTAACTGTTTTCCATTTGATTATTTTTCTCTCTCAAGTGTATGTTCCTGTTTTCTGCATATTGACAGAAAATGAGGCTGATGATGATAGCAATAATAATAATGTTCTAACAGAAAATATCAATATCTGTACTATACCTCCTAAAATAATCCCTGCAAACGCCAACTGGAAAATGCTGTAGATGAGTGGGAAAGTAAACATCAGTTCAAGTTGTTCAGCGTTGAAGGAGAGCTGTACAATTGTTGAACAGAGCTGAGTGTTTTGCATGCCTGTTTCCAGAGACACCGTACGACATCTAAAGGGAATAACACAATAACAACTGTGAAATGGCATCCTGTGCATTCCTCTTCTTTACTAGGTGTCTGCAAAGTCAGTATCCACACAGCTAAATGAAAAAATAGCACTCCTCAGCTTACAAGTGATAGAATTTTTAGAACCAGAACACATGCATTTTATGCCAATTAAGCAATTGCAGGGGAATATTATATGCTATAGTCAACACTATTGATTGTAGAATCATAGAATATCCTGAGTTGGAAGGGATCCACAAAGATTATTAAGTTCAACTCCTGGCCCCGCAAAGGACCACCCAAAATCCAAACCATACATCTGAAATGCTCCTTGAACTCTGTCAGCTTGGGGCTGTGACCACTACTCTGGGAGCCTGTTCCAGTGCCCAGCCACCTTCTCAATGAAGAACCTTTTCCTGGTATCCAATCTGAAACTTTATTCTCCCTCTCTTTTGAAACAGTACTCTAAATTATAGGCTGCTGTTTCTTCATTAGAAGTCTTACTTGCCACAACCCATTTGTTTGTTAGGTCTATTCTGCTCACTTTCTTTGAAGTCCAAGACATGGGCACACATGAGAAAGACAGGAGGAAATACTAGTTATAATCCATAGATAAAAATGTAAACATTATAAGTTTTATTTACATGCTGTACACTAGAAACATGGTTGGGGAATGAGTGATCTGTTGCAAAACGAATATTTAGGAATCATTGTCAGCATTGATTATTTCTTAAATAAAAGCTTCCTTCACAGATGAAATAAGACTATAAGTCTATGTCAGAGAGAAATCTATACATACCTGCTCCAAGACAGACCAGCGAGACGAGCCAGAAAGAATCCCAAACAATAGCCAGCTGCTGGAAATATGGTACCAATGATCCATAGCTTAGGTGTGATAACCCACGAGCCTTTGTAGAGTATTCCCCCAACCACAGCAATGATGACAATGAGAACTGCTCCTGCTATGGAACCAACCTGTGAGAAAAAGAGGAAAGACGGTGTGAATAAGAGACTTCACTGAAATTTTGTGACAACAAACATAATGTCAAACTCACATTTGAATGTCTTTAGCCGAGCCACTGAAACATCTTATTAAACATAAAGCTAAATGTTTACTGCCATCTAATTCATGGGAATCACACAGATTAGATCATTGCCATTTTCCCAAAAATAGAGCTGTAAAATGTACTTCAAAGTGTGACTACAGACAGATCAAAGCTCAGCTAAAATTAAACATTAAAAACTTCAGAGCTGTAACATAGATGAAGAACAACTTGGATATTAGATTTTTCCCAGCATTACTGGGAAAATAGTAGTCTAATAGCTAGAATAATGCACTTTTCCTTCCCACTCTTTGAACAGTCACAGTTTGGGGCTTAGCACAGTATATGCTAATTAGATGCTAGATTGTTGGTGCTAGGAAATTATTTGTCAAGTGAAGGAATAAATATTTGTTGTGGCTGAAAATATTGCGTATGAGAACTGGCTGTGAGTTCATACGCATTTCTATATAGACATAGTCACTGAGTTAATCTTATTTTCTGTGGCTGAACATACTGAGATCCTCATTGCTTCTTGCCAAGGTAAAGGATAACACATTCTCTTGTAAATATTCAATTTATCTCAATATCTCAATTATGGTATATGTTGCAAGAGATCTCACCAGATATCTATGGTTAAGTGAAGGAGTAATCCATTTTTTAGCTAAAAGGTGTATTCTCTTTGAACTGGCTTCATCAATCTTTGACTGAATCTTTTTAAGGGCACTGAGTCAACAAGTGCTTTTGTTTGACTGAGATATTAACCACATGCACCTAGGAAAAAGTAACAGGGTCTAGCCATGACAAGCTATTCTGTTTCACATTGTGCTCTTATCTCCATTTCTCACTATCTGGACTTTAATCTGACAGCTACAGTTCAGTCTTTGCTTGATGCTTCATTGTCCAATATCAAGCAAACTGGCTTGTTCAAACCCACAGCAAACTGTGGGTTGCTCGCCCACTCAGTACAAATAATGATAAAATTGTGTTTTGCTGAAAGAGTAACTAGATTATCTTCTTATGTGAGCTCAAGTCCATGACTTTCCCTTAACTGAACATGCAGGAACAGCACTGTTTTGAAATCTTTTCTCACTACTATTCATGTTCTTAAGTAAGGTATGGATACATTTAGAAACATAACAGGATAAATAAAAATTTCATGAAAATTACTGGGAGTTAAAAGGAGTTATTTGCATTCTGTAATTTCTGAGCTGATAGCAGAAAAGGAATAATAAAATATAGGTAACCACTTGTCAGGTTACGTTTGTTTAAGAAAATGTAGAAAATGTTTATATTAACTTAGGATAGTCAAGAAAGGCCAAGGATTCTCAGCACATCTGAGAATCACTTTGAACTGAGCAGGAAAATATTCAGAATGATTAATTTTCTGTTAACATAAAATGCAGATAAGCTGTTACTATTACTATTTTGGTAAGGTCTGTTTTTGCCAAAAATCATAGATTCAATGCTTCTGAATCTATCTTGCAAATATAGTTGAACTTTCTGAATAGTTTTCTTATAATTTTTAAATATTGGAACATTTTCAACACATGCACATATATATATGCATATTTAAATCAACTTCACACTCAAAATTGCCAAAAAATGATAAATTGGTTTAAAAGTGGAAATATTTTTGTTTGACCCAGAATGTCTTCATTTTGTACTATTTTGAAGGAAAAGTTCCATTTGACCTGACTGATTTTCCTTCCAATTTTCAGTTTACATTGTAAACTGAACTCAGTTGCTAGCATAGTTCTAGCCAAAAAAAAAGTATGCTCTTTGATGATAGCTTCTAATAACATGTACGACTAATGCGTGTTTGTGCAGGGGGAAAGCAATACATTTCTGCAGTATTTCATTTGCTTTCTGCTGAAAACTCCAAGGCTCTCAGATACGAATGCTATGAATAGTAATATGCTGCTTCAGTGGTGCTACAGATTTCATAATTTGTCTATAATTACCAATGCTTCAGCAGTACAAATCCTACCTTAAGTATTATTTTTGCTTTACTGGGCCATTTGTGATTAACAAATACTCCAACTGAAACAGGAACTACAAGAGCTACCAGTGAAATTCCTGTAAAAAAGAAAAGAAAAAAGATAAACCCACATATCATGTAGAAGTTCATGATGGGAGCATGCACTGTGTGGAGCAGCCGGAGGTATAGAGCAAGCCTACGGTGGATGTTTCTGGTATGCACACCCCAACACATGCACACTGTACCAGCACCTGCCCATTTGCTTTTCTACAGTCTGTTATCTTTGGAAACCTGTTGAAGTAATTGCCATTCAGCTGAGCTACATGCTCATTCACCTGAATCAAAAAGGCAGACAGAAATTTGAGTGCACTAATCACCACTATCCTGTGATGTGTGTAGCTATATTAAATGTTCACTTTGTCTGCAGGTGTTTCACTACTGTGTCAAATCAACAAATGGTTTAGAGCTTCTTTTGTTCCGGCCTTCTTTCTCCAGCATGTTTTTTGAAAGCACAAGCAATATATGTGATTTTTTTTTTTCCCCAGGACAATGGGAATTGAAATTGAAGAATATGAAAGTGATCTGCTGGCTTTGTAAGATAACCACAACATGGGACTGAACGTGATAAGCAACAGGGCTACAGTTCTGCAAAGCACTGGAGCATATATTTCTAAATACTTTGACTATTTTCTCTTTGTAACTGGATGAGATTTCTGACAGGAAGTCAAATGAAGCCACTCCTGGTGGTGTAGATTGCAGCTTTTCAATGAGACTCAGCAGTTTTAATCGCTTGCTTAATTATCCACATGTGCTTAAGTACTTTGCCAGATACGGCCTCAGCTCTTAGCTCTTTGCAGGATTGTGCCTTAAAGCTGTTACCAATGCTTTCATCCAGGGAAAGCAGCTATTTCTGTATGAATTACTCTTATCCCAGTACCATGCAGGTTTCTAAACTATTTAAAAAGAATGCATGAACTTGTGAAAAATAATTGTACTGTGTTTATAATAAAATATTTGATCTGAAGAGTTGTGGATGACTTGAAGTGATCTAGGTACCTAATTCCCACCAAAATCACTGAAAAGTAGGAAAATACATATTTTTAAAATGTCTGAGGTAATTTCTTTATGCTTCTGCAGGATGGTGATAGTGTAAGAGTGTTTGTTACTAGAAGGAAAATAAAGGAGAGTCAGAAGGGAAAGTGTGGTTTGCTTGACTTACCAATGCTGTCATAGGGGAGTACAATTGCATCAGACTCGATCCACATCTTAGTATAAATAAAAAGACAGAGTGGCATCATCCCCATTGCGAGAATTGTGGAGCACGTTGTCATGCTGATGCTGCAAAGAAATTGGTTTAAGTGACAATTTGTCTCATGCTAGACTATGCTCTCTTCATTTCCTTATTATGACTTCGCAGCTTATGTAAAGATACACAAGAAATGCTGCTGGCTACAGCCAATTTATCCATGTCAAGTTAGAAAAAAAGCTAAATGCAAAGAATGGTTCTGCTGAAAAAATAAAAGAAAAAAAACACATAAATACCAACATGTTCTGCAGACATTAAACAATACAGAATCACAGAATCACAGAATCACAGAATTGTAGGGGTTGGAAGGGACCTCCAGAGATCATCGAGTCCAACCCCCCTGCCAAAGCAGGTTCCCTACAGTAGGTCGCACAGGTAGGCATCCAGGCAGGTCTTGAACATCTCCAGAGAAGGAGACTCCACCACCTCCCTGGGCAGCCTGTTCCAGTGCTCCGTCACCTCACTGTAAAGAAGTTCCTTTGCACATTTGTGTGGAACTTCCTATGCTGCAGTTTCCAGCCGTTTCCCCTTGTCCTGTCTCCACTCACCACTGAAAACAGTCTGGCCTCGCCATTCTGCCCCCCACACCTTAGATATTTATAGACCTGGATCAGGTCCCCTCTCAGTCTCCTTTTCTCAAGGCTGAACAGACCCAGTACGTTACAGTGCAGAGCACAGTACAATAAATTTCAGTACAAACAAAGAAGCAGAGTGGCAATCATCAGGAAGGACAGTTGGCAAGTCTGTACGCACGCTGACTGGCTGGCCTCTGAAAGGTCAGCAACATGGATCAACAGCCACTTTCCATTTCACTATCAGCTCTGGACTATTTTAGAATTTCTCTCCAAGGCCAAAAAGCAAACAATATCAACAACAACAAATAAACAAATAAATAAACAACAACAAAAAACACATTAATCATCTAGGAGGTACAAGATAATAAATTTCCCTTTTCTGACTTTTCCTGCTCTAGGCCAAAGAGCAGGTACTGATAATTACACTTTGAAACTGAGCGTAAGTATTGTTGCTTCCTTGGTTTGTTCAAAGATGTTTTTGTGTTAAAATATGAAGTTTTAGAATCATAGAATCACAGAATGGTTTGGGTTGGAAGAGACATCTAACATCATCTAGTTCCACCCCCCTACTATAGACAGGGACATCTCCCTGTAGATCCAATTGCTCAAAGTCTTGTCCAGCCTGGCCTTGAATGCTTCCAGGGTTGGAGCACTTTGCTGGGTAACCTGTTCCAAATCTTGAATCTCTTGAGCCTGGTATACTTTGTTGAAAAATGAGCATTCTGCTGGACAATGGAAGACAGAGTGAGACAGGGAAAAAGACAGATTTTTCTTTGTAGTGTAGATAAAATGTTGCCTTCATATCATTCTCCTATGAGGTAAAAATAATGACAGAAGGCTTTACTTGAGAGACTTCGGAAACTTCCTCATGAGCCTCCCTTTTGACAGATCTTTGATGTAGTTTACTCTCATAACAGAAGCTACAGATACACAAACTGGATACATTCAGAGATATCTGGAAGAATTCATACAGAAACAACAGAAATACTTGCTTTAGTTTTGATTTCTTTGATTCAGTGTTGTTGGATATAATTACATGGGAGACTCTGGAAAGGGAATTCTTACACATAAAGGAAAAAGAGCAATGGTCTTTTACTCAGGTCTGATAAAGATCCAAGTTAATAAAGAGCTCATGTGTCTATATTTCCTACATATTTTCACAGTTTCTATATCTACATCCTACTACAAAGGCTGATCATTTGCTAACCCCAATCCCTGTTCTTGCAGCAGCTCCCAGAGGAGCTATGGAGGAGAGGAAATGGTAACACAGAAGAAGTTCTTATGAGTTAGCAAGAAATGTCTAAAACTGGTGTCCCTATGGGAAATTTCAGGGGATATTATCTGGGTCTGAACTACTAAGAAAAGTACAAAACCTCATACTTTATCTTCCACATTATCTTTACACAAATAGTAGAAAATTAATTCTTGCCCTAGCTTATGATTTAACTGCACTAGGAAGTGTTGAGCAGGACTGTAGATAATGTCGATGGCTTATTATATACAAAGATAAAATATCAGTTAAAGGCAAAACTTAGTCTGATATGCTGTGCTGGCTACAGAAACCAACCAAGCTACTTGTACTGTTAGTCTATCAAGACTGATTATAATTGCATCACTTGCTGTACCTCCTGTTTCCTCTAGTCCTTGAATTATTGTAAAAATGTAGTGATCAAAAGCCTTTGAAATCTTAAGGTAAAGGCTTTTACCTGAAGAATAATATTTAGTATGTGTTTCCAATTTACCTCACCCTCTGTCACCATCATGAGTTATAAATTCTACTCGTATTTATAGCATCATCAATTAGGATTCTGATTATACAGACCTGACAAAGAACAGCTTAGCTCAGTGTATTCTTCCAAGGAAAGATTAGGACGGAATTTAAGACTTGTGCTGGATGTCTTTTTATCTATGTTTTCTCAGACCCGCATTCATTGAAATAAATTGTCTTATAGTTTCTACTATCATAGGTTTTTCCTCCACAGTGAGGAAGCTGGTGATTAGCGGGGGCTGACTTCATACATAATTCGAATGCAGGCATTATATTAACACCTGTGTGTAACAGAAAAGTTCACTGTTTTCAAAGGATGGAAAAAATGTCTTATTAAAGCCACAAATATTAACGTTCTTAGTCAATTTGCTCTGACTCCACATCTTTCTTACTTCTATTATTTTTTCCACTTTAGTTCAGACTGGCATATGATAAATTGGATGAATGCTCCAATTTATGTTTCTCTGCAGGAAATGGAGAAATTATCTTGTTTATTTTAGAGCAGAGTAATCAGGATATGAAAAGAAAAAAAGATGGCTCATTTTTAAAAGCTGTTAGAGTTAATGAACGCCCCAAGAAATTTTCATCAGGAGTATGATGCATTTCTACAGTGTGTTTGCTATCCAAGACTGCACTACATATCCTACATATTTGTTTCTGAGTTTGGAGCACCCAGTCAGAGACCATCACGCTTGGTCACAGTGGAGTTTTACCATAGCAGCTCATGCACAGGGCTGCATTAATCAGTAGTTTTTCGCCTGTAAAAATTTCCTTCAGTTTGAAAACTTTGCAGAAGGTGCCAGGAGCACGTAAAATTGTCATAAGTAATTTCCTTTTGTATTAGTACCCAAAGAGAAAGGCTATGCCTGTCTGTTCATTGTGCAGAACACAAAAGGAGGAAAAATATTTTTCCACAGGTGGTTTCTTTCAAGAAACATTTTTTCAAAAAAATGTTGCATAGCTGCTCTTTCATACACAGGACTGTGTATGAAAAAAGTCTTTATTATATTTTTTTAATTGCCCTAGGTCTTGGAGAAACAAAATCACAAATATAAGTCTTATTTAGTCAATGAGTTCATAAAACTTAGTATGCTATTTTATGAAGAATTTGAGATCTTATAGCAAAGACATTCTCTAAAATTCACAATTTTGTTATGATATCTTCCTAATGAGTTATCAAGTTCTAACAATAATTCTAGTCTGGTTATATTTATTAGTACTATAGTAACTAAATATCTCTACAGGAAGAAAGTTTCACCACACATCAACCAAGACAAGAAAAAAATCAGACAGTCCTTTTCAACACAAAATTTACAAAAAGCCATGTGAACATTTTAGAAAACAATCACTCTTACCTTAGGTCCATGTCACCATCCACCCAGTAGGCAACGACATTAGAGGCTGTGCCTCCTGGACAGCATCCCATGATCATCACCACAACGGCTTGAATAGGAAGCACATTAAAGGCCAGTGACAGCAAGAAGGCTGTGAGAGGCATAATTCCAAATTGACAGAGAAAACCCACCAAAATACCCCAGGGTCTTCTTATGTGGCTCAAAAAGTTTTTGATTTCCACATTGCAACCCATGGAGAACATCACCAAAGCCAGCATGATTGTTAGAACAGTACTTAAAACTACATTCAAAGTCTGGTTAAAAGTATCTTCTGGTAACACACAAGATGTACCAGTACAAATAGTAGCATTTTCTGGACAAGCTGTGGAGTTGTCCACAGCTGGACAAGCTGTGGAGTTGTCCAGCAACTTGCTGTTAAAATGCTGAGAAAGTAAGTAATCCTGCATTTTGAAATGCAGAACTGCTCAGAGAATCCGAGGCAAATTTTCAAGCCTGTGTAAATGATTGTTTGTCAGCCACTCTTTTTAAATGATCCAGGAAGCAATAAAGTTCAATAAATACCTGGACGCTGTTACTATTCCTTAAGGGTTTGGCACAATGCTGATTCATATGGTTATAAAAGTTATGCTTGCTGGTATGGTGGTAATCAATCATTTATTCATATGATAATGAGGAATCCCACATCGAGAGAATGTCTGTGTTAATATGTAAGGGTGTAAAGGAGGCTTGTGGAATAGCTAAGCACACAAAATGAAAATCACAGGAGGAAAAGAAAGTTTAGATTTCATTCTTTGAATTTCTTGCATGCCTTCAGGAAAGCTGCTCCTGCGTGAACAATGTGTGCGTTACAAGGATGTGCAGGGCTGAAAGGAGTAACTGATAAAAAAACCTGGGTAGAGGCACTGAGCAAGGAAAATAGATTCACCTTCTAAATACTGCACAAGGCTGCATTTTAGGGGATTGTAAGAACTTCTCTGCAACTGCAGTAGAGCAGTCAAAACCTCAATCCTGTCTACGGAGTGC